CTTTTCCGGGAGAAAAATAATACACTCGAGCATTACGCTAATGCGCCGCTTTAACGGCAATGTAACTCCGACGTTATCGTCGACTAATCTTCTGCCGGCAATGTCTTTTAACGGTTCTTGCCGGTCTTCTTAATGCACGGGACTTTGCACCTAATTGCACGCTACGGCCCGACGATCGCGAAAGTTCCTCCGCGTTGCTCTGTGCGCGAGCAACGGCGGCAGCAAGAAAGTCCCACCCAAGTTGGAAGGGATGAGAGAGGAGGCACGATCCCCCCCCCCGGCTAATTGAAGCGCAATTAACCGCGTTAAAACGCCAAGTGCTGATTAGGGCGCTACGTCGCAAGGGCGACCTACTAATCTATGCGCATACGTGACGGCGGTAGTTCTTGCGTAAATTGAAAGTCGTCCTTGCCCTCTCATCGTTCGGCAAGAGTGCACTCGACCGCTGAAATTCGCCGAGGCATTACCCTTCATCCTCCTCGACCCTCGACGCCGTTAAGTACATCGTCTATGAGTTTCTGAACGACGATTGGGTTAAAGAAATAGAATGGTTATACAGCGATGAAAATAAATTTATTTGATGTAGAATCAAGCGCGAGAAAGTGGCGTAATGAAATTAATATTGGTAATTTGAAAAATTTTATAATTATTATGTTTTTTCATTATCTTTTTATAGTATATATTTTCTTAAATTAACAACAAAGTGCGCAATAAGGTAAAATTAAAAAATGCAGCTTGTAATGAAATAAAGATCTAATAATAATCGTGTAATTTTATTTCTAAAGATTTGTCTTCCGTTGCAAAATCCTATAATTTCCAAATTATTTGCATTTACTTTTAGAGCTTATTTATATAGTTGCTTTATAGATCATGTTAATTTATTAATAGTCGAGAATTACAAAATGTGTATTTTTAGTTGTATCTTTAGAAAATGGGAAATCAATATAATGCCGTTGAAATGGTTTTATATTTTAAGATAAGGAATACGATGAATTATAATAAATCTTACTCAAGAAAGAACCGTGAAATTTAAAAAATAAACATCATCGTCCTCTAAATATTAACAAATTGGCATTTTAAGATTAACGATATAATCATCAATTTAAGCAATTCAAAATATTACTTCAAAGAAGCGATTCTAACAAATAGTCGAGATTCAGTTTTTGTATTCGTTGACAAAAAGACACGAATAAAATTTCTGAGTTTTAGATGAACATATTTATCATGTTAGAAAGGAGTTGTTTTGGGATTAGATAATTCAAGAAAGACCTCGAACGCGCGCGGCAGGACCTCGTGAATATTCACAAGTTTGAAGGGGAATTGAGGGGATTCTCCCGCTGGGACTTCGATTGTTCTCTCTGGCCGCAAGAAGCTTCCTCGTCGTCGTCGTCGTCGTCGTCGTCGTCGTCGTCGCCGTCGCTGAGACACTCGGAGAAACGCAAGCGCGGCTAAGAAACGTTAATTGCGTCGAAGACGTCGCCGGGGAAGCCTTCGAGAACATCCGGAGAGATACCGTCGCCCTCGCCATCACTGCGATTTTACAATGAGCCGAAGACGACGGTGGATGATCGCGTTTGGTTGGTCGGATTCGCCGGTGGTGGATCTGGTGCGGCGAGGGACGGCTGCGGAAAGGATGTACCTACCTACTTATTTAGAATATTGCCGGCATACATCTGCATAAATTCAGCGCAGGCCTTCGACATCGCCTACCAATCCCCCCAGACTTATCCTCTCTCTTCTCTCTCTCTCTCTGTCTCTCTCTCCCTCCCTCTCTCTCTTTCTCGGTGAAAGAGAGAGAAACGATCGTCCGACACGGGGGTTGTACGCCCTCCTGCCGTTCCGTCCGACGCCGCCATCAGCATCATGCCGCTCGTAAAGAAATCCCTCGTGACGCCGCCTGAAAGCTTCCTCGAGACGCGAGCGCGAGAGGATAAAAAAATTCGAGGCGCGTCGCGCATTATAGAAATATCTCCGACGTGCGAGCTTGTGCTATCGTGCGCGCGGGAGAGATTAAAGTATCCTGGCGAACGTGCTCGATAATCCATCCCGATGATCCATTCCCGATGGATGTGACGAATGCGCACGCGGGAGACAGAAAAGGTGGCGAAGTACATAAGATAGAAAAGAAAAGATCGGCGGCAACGAGGCGCGGCGGGATGAGGGACACGTGGGACGAGAAGGAGCGGAGGTAGTATCTATATTACATGAACGGGAGAATGAGAGAGAGAGGGAGGGAGGGGGAGAGATAGCGAGGAGTACAACCCGCTGTGTATGCACGCGGGAATTACGCGAACCCCGATGGGAACGCGGATGCGCGCGCGCGCGGCCCGTTCGCGCCGCAGGCCTCGTATACATATTCAAATTGAATTATACGCACTACCAGACGCGTTGATTCGAAATCATTCGACGGCTTGGTATCTCGAAAACAAGCCTGTATCGCTCTCCCCTTCCCCCCGATCCGCCGCTCCTTCCGCGTGCGAGTTTCCGCTCCACGGGGCTGTCGTACCTCACCCCCGACTAATGGAAATTCTCGACGAGAAGTTGGTTAAACACATTCGCTTTGCATACGTATCGAAACGGCCCGTTGTTGCGCCATCCCGTGTGACTTCGTGCTGAGCGCGTACGAAAGCGTGCATCCCCACGATGCACCCCCGCCCCCGGCTATCGAGGAATTTGGGAGTCGCGATTCGATCCCGGCGTGTCCGATTCTCTCGCCGAATTCCATTTAGTCAGCATTCGACCACGACAAAACATAATTATCCGATACATTGGGATATCACGGAAATCGGAATTTCTCAAACTTAAGTCCGTTTAATAAAATACACCGGAGATATAGGGAGACCGCTGCATTAAGAAAAATTTAAATAATAGTCATCGCTGTGACAAACAATGACACTCGCATTGTTGGCGATGTTATCGCTAGTGATGCTTCGTCGAGGTAAATCGCATCGAAACTCGTGGACTGTATTCACCCCTCTCTCTCTCTC